CCATCCCATCATCTCCATTCTTCTCCATGATAAGAATCGCGTGCTCCGGAACCATTAAACGCCTAGGTAGGTACTTTCTTGCGATCAATTAATCAATCGATCAATTCGGAAATCTAGTCCCATCAAATGAGATAAGACAAGACAAGACAAGACAAGACAAACAGTCATCCATCTACTTTCTTCCTGTTGCATTACCCTATTGCATTACTTCTTTATTTCCCCCTTCAATTTCTTCCCTTATTTCGACATCTCTCTACTCCCACCCTAAGCCTCCACCTCCCCAACCACCAAATCACCCCCCATCTCCTTAATATAACCCTCCCAAATCCTCGCTACCCCATCATAAAACTCCCTATGTACATCCGCCAAAGCCCCCAGTTGACTCCTAAACTCCACCCTCTTAATCCTTTCAAAATCCGCCACTTCTCTTACAACCTCCTCATCGAAAGCTTCCGTCGTTTTCTTCGCATCTTCTACTTCCTTTGTCAATTCCTCTATCCTCAATTCCAATCTTCGTAATCTTTCTCTGCGAGATTGTTCATGATCAACTCCTCTCACATCTTCAATTTTCGAGCGAATAAACCCGCCTGCTCCAGTCAGGGCTCCAGAACCATGAGATGAGGCTAGCTGATCCCGGTCATTGGTGGATTTTGCAAGATATTCAGTTAATTGTTCAAAATCGAGTTGTTTCTGTTCGCGAGTTTTTAATAAATTCTTGACCGCCGTGCTATAAGCCTGCATGTCCCTCAAACTTCCAAGATAATTTTGATCTGTATGGTCCTTCAATGTTTTAATTCCCGCACTGGTATCTTCTACACTAGCGCTGAATCCGTGAATACTGGTTTCAATTCCGGGCTCAAGGTTGATTAACCGTTGAAACTGTTCGGCGAGATCTTTATAATCCGTCTCCAAATCGCCTTCACGACGAGCTACTCGAGCAACAATTTTTTCAATGTGCCCGAGATCTTCGTCCAATTTGTCGGACTTTCCTTTGACTTCTATGAACCGTTGATCGGGTTTATGGACTTTGGTAAAGGCATTTATAAATGTGTCCGTGAAGTTGTCAAAGACTCCTGCAGCTTGTTCATCTCGAGAAGCGCCTCGAGAAGGGCGCGACCTCATTGTCGCATTCCAGTCCGAACTTTCCAGGAAGATTATCAAAAGGGCGCTACGACGGAGAACAGGGTGAAGAGTGAGCCGGGTGAGGAAACGTGCGAGAGAGTTGGCTCGCCTTTGCATGAAATCGACTCCAAATCGATCGCCTCGGACATATTCCATCTTATGCTTGTCTGGTAGAGGAGGAACAGCACATGCCGGATATTCCCTAAAAAGCGTATTGTATAGAAACACAAAATCCGTAAATCGTCTTCGAACCGTCGTCGTAGGCTTTTGAAAAGAAGGAAACGTAGTCTACATATCAAATCAGTAAATCGTCCTGCGCCCCTCGATATTTCCGTAAAGACGAACATGCGTAGTAACAAGATACGAAACAAATGCATCTTTAGTCCCATCGTTCTCCTTGATAGGTGACCCAACGGTACACTCTAGAACCCCTTCTCCGACGCCCGCTAGATCAAGAGCATCTGCATTTGGGCCAGCTTGTATTTCACCACTTTTCATGTGGGTGTCTGGTCCTTCGCCTTCATCATCACTTTGCGAATGCCCTCTCTGATTATTCTGCCATTCGATATTGGCGAAATCGTCGTGGTCCATCTTCGCAGTTGAAGTGCGCGGGGCAATCGGAGCTTGTTTTCGTGGGTTGGGTAGGGTAGGGAAGCTTGGTTTCGTAGAAGGCTTGTTGCTATACAAATGGTTTCGATGAACTATGCTCAAATAAACTTTTGTGTATTATGGATTGATGATATTGATGAGTTGTAATACGAATTTTGTCTTAATTTGTACTCAAAAGGTGGTGAGAATAATTGTAGTGAATTATTTTTGGGGGGATTTCCTATGCAATAATCATGGAAGCTTTGTCAAAGAGAGGCGCGGACCGATGTCATCCATCAATGGGAGCGCTTGGCGTTTTCACAGTGGTCAAGAACTCACGACTCTCACAAGCATAGCTTTTAGTTCAGAGTATATTATACGAAGACTATCACCTACCTAGGCAGACCAAAGTAGGTAACCCATAAAGGTAAATTGAATGGGGTTATTAAAAAAAAAACTAAAAGACTTGGTATTGATTGATATTTTAATACTGCGCTGTGCTGCTGTGTATTCTGATGCACAATCATAGCAATCAGTGTCTATAACTGTAAAATTCTATCGCATTCCCATCCAATCCATTTAATCCATGCGTAAACCAGATCCAGTAATGCTATAGCTTTTATAACAACAAGTGAGAAGAATGTTCAAATATACACATCAGATTAAGCTTATGGCTTTTCTTTTCTTGCCTTGCTATCTTCCTGCTTTAATAGTTCTCCATCTTTCTCGGCAGCAATTGCCTCACTCACTTGATCCATCTCTACTCCATCTTTGGCCTCCATACGTCTCTCTTCCTTTTCATCAATATCTTCGTTATCTTGAGGAGTGGCTCTGCCTTCCCCGGTGTTCTCCTCGTTTTGCTCGTTTTCTTCCTCGATGAGCTCTTGTTGCTCCTTCAAGACCTCGAGACGTTGTTTGTTAGTGGCAGCACCCTCTGCATTGTGAACTTCAAGCTCAATCTCATGGAACAGCTCCTCTGGAATGGATGATAGAACACCAGTGAGTGCATCGATTTGGGTTGAAAATTCAGCCTCCTTGCCTTGAGCATACATGAAAGCGTTGCTCAATACCAATAATGTAGAGGGAACTCCATGCTTGAGTCTCAATTCTAACCAGGCTTGAAGATCATCGCGAAGACGACCAGGAGACATTCCATGAGTCCTGATACCACGGTTGAGACAAGCAACCTGAAGTTCTGGGACAGACAAACTTTCTACACCTTCAAAGCTGATAGCACGATCGTCTCTCTTGATTTGTCTCATACGATGACGAATCTGATAACGAAGCATGGTATCGGTACCAAAAGTGTTAAGGTTCATGTATCTACACATACCAACGAGTTGGGGGCGAGACAAGTTGTCCAAAGTAAGATCGTCCTTGAATATCTGGCAAACCTTGATAACTTCCGAAGCACTGGGTGTTTCACCAGTGGCTCTAACTTTGCGGAAAAATTGAGCAAATTCTTCAATGTGAGCATTTGCTGTACTCAATGGTAGTCCGGTCTCTTTCAAGGTACTTCGCAAGAAATTGCTGACATCCTTTCTAGTTGCACGAAGTGAAGATACTTTAGCATCTTTTGATTTCTGTGCCTCGTATGTGCTTGGAAGCATGTTGGGGAATAGCTTGAGAGCAATTGGGAGGAGAAGTTCTGCGAATGGCACAAGAACAAATACAGAAAATGGCACTAATCGTGCCATATCTTGGACTGTTCTTCGTAGTTGCCTGTGCTCTCTGCGACTGAGCTCATATCCTGCAGCCATCTTCAATGCTAAACGTGAACTAATCTTAATTTCCGTTCCCAGCAATTTCGTACCATCCCAATAATGTGCAGCCTCCTTCTTTATCTTTTGTCCGAGTGTCAACTTTTTCTCTGCTTTCTCGCCATCAGGTTTTTCGACTGACTTTCCAGTTGAGCCAGCCAGTTCCGAAAGTGTCAAACCTTCAGAAGCATCGGTTTTTGGTACTCCAGTGGCTTCATTGCTTGGAATGGGGTCTATTTCATGTATGCCGGCTTGCTTCGCAGCAGCTTTTGACGTCGCATTGGAGCTAATTGGAGTCTCTTTGATTGGTTTTCTGGCTTGTTCGGCATTGAAACCTGGTGGTGGTGCACTATTTGTCCCTCCTGATGTATGAGTATCTGTCGTTACACCCCTTCGTGGAATTAGAATAGCTAGTGCTGGCATCTGTGATGGAAGGGTTCGAGCATTACGACGTAAATATGCTGCTGTGGGACTGAGAGAAGATCGTTGAAGAGCACGAGCTAGAAGTGGCGGTTAGTACTTTATTGAATCTCCATTTACAGGATGGAATGAATGTGAACAAACCTCCTATGAATGATGTTTGCGCCGCACTGCGGACAATTCTCGATGAAGCGCTCATTCTTATGGTGAATTCCCTTAGGAATGATGTGACAATAAAAGGTTTAAACAGAGTATAGGAATCGTAGTATTACACAATTTTTTAATGGAGAGAATGAATGAGGTATTTCGTAATGAGAAATCATAGAAAGAAGTTGTTTTTGATATGAACGAATTGTTCTAAAATGCCTTCAACGACGGATACGGATCAAGCAATGATTCTTCTGGAATTCGCCGTAGAATATCACGTGTTGATAGATTTCCAAAGCTAATGGGCTAGCGCGAACTGATAGGGGTGCGGGACGGAGCGGACTTAAGCATAGTGAAATGTTCTAGAAGAACGTGGCACGAATACGGTAGTAGATGTCTTCTTAGCCAAGTTTATGTAGGGCCTTGCGTTGTACAAAGAGTACAGATAGCCATCGAGCTAACTACTATAACATATCAACAATCTAATAAATAGTTTCTATGTACTCGTACGGTATGCATATTAAAAGTAGTTGTTCATGGATATTAAAACGGTACCAGACTAGGTGTCTTGGTTAGATAAACGGTGGTGGATCCGACTCTTCCCTGCGAACATTCGAAAACAGCTGCATATATACAGCACAACCAAATCCGCAATGTCTCAAATACTATAGCCATTATTCTCATCTAGTACTTCTCAGACAGTTCAAGTAGTTGCTATTGTTGTTAAGGTCTTGCTTTCTTTGCTCAGTTCTTAGCCTGTTCGGAGTCTTGTTTGTAATTGGTAACGTGTCGGAAGTGAAGAAGCGGGATTCGTTTCCTGTATACTTTGCAGTGCATCAACAAAAGAATGTGCTTGGAGCTCTGATGCAGTTGAGAACAAAATTCAATTCAGAATTCGATTCTTATGCTATCTTTAACAAAGCAGATCCATTGATCTGTGGTCAAGCTACCGATGATCAAACCCTACAAACCTCGACGACAATGCACATGATCGACAGCAATACTTCCAAGATCTACCCCCTTCCCCATGTTATCAAGCGAACTTTTCTCAACATGCCCCCCCTCTGAAATCCGGTCCATAGATACGTGACATCGACTTGGAATATTTACTCTCCGCGCCCAAACTCTTTTCCGAGTTTTCATGATCCTGACTTTTGATTCACAATCATAGATACGTGTTTGCTCGAAGAACACATAAGCAGCATTATAAGCAGGACTCTGATTGCCGTGTGGATCTTTCTGCTTCATGGAATTGTCAAGGGTTTTCGTAAGGACTCGTCTGCCATCTGGAAATGTTTTGGCGCTTTCACGACAGAATGCAGATTCGTTAGGTGAAACATCTCGAAAGAACGCCTTGATTTCCTTGCGGATTTCGTGGCACGAGTCGTAGATAGGAACTGATCCTGTGTCGTCTCCTCCGAGTTCAATACGCGAGACATCATACGGTCCTGCCGCCTTACTGAGTCTTTTCTTCTTCGCAGGAGATGAGTGCATGGCAGTTCGTGGTGAAGGGGTGGGATTCAATGGTGATGAAACGGAATATGGTAGTCAAAGAGGGAATGTTAGGACTGGCGTCATGGGCTTTTTTAGGCCAATACTATCAGCTTCACGTCAAACCAGCGAGCAAGGTAATATGGTCTTCAAGAATGCAACTGCATTGTAGTAAACATTACTTCCACTTCCTTCGTCATGACCACTCTTGCTTGTGAACGTACGATAACTTTTACTACTGACACCGATCGCTTTTTGAAAATTTGTGACATTCATCTCACCCGAGTTGATAAGATTTCGAATCTCCTGACGAACTTGGTTGAGTCTAAGTCGACTACTGAATGGTGTTTATCATCATCGTCGATCTCAATGAGAGGTTGGAAATCATCAATCTCTGTCGCTTTGCGTTTGCTCGTCATCATCTGATGCTTGTATGGTTAGCAGAGAAGTCGAAGCTCTGGAATCAATGAATTATTGTACCTTGGCATATTATACGGTATCGCGCCCTTAATATTACAAGTCCTTGAGCGAGAATCACAGAGCAAACGTCGTTGGATTGGAAGAGATACCATTATCATTATTAGTAGAGGTACAAGTACAAAAATGACTCGCAAGAACTCTACTGCACGCAGCCTCTGTTGGTGTCTTCTGTTTTTCCAGCCGGGGAAGCCTACCAAATAGGAAAATTGCAGATTCAGACTTCTACGCCATCCTGATTTGATTTGAACAGATACCCCAGGCTACGACAAAAACAGATTCACATACACGCTCAAAGAACACCAAGTAAATTAGACACTCTTCTTCAGATATTAATGTTGCGTAGGTACAGTGTTCTACCTGTCAGCCTAAAGGCATGGACTACGCATATGACTGCACGCGTCAAAACTCTTCCAACTTTTAAGAAGCACACAAAAGATCTCGATATCAAAGACGCGCGTCTATCAACCAGGTATGACGTATTAGTCACATACTGAGAATACGATGGCATTATAGAACCTCTGAATATTCAATGCAATTACACCTGCACCCCCACACTTTCAAAGTCTTGATCTCGTTCTATTATCTCCTTTCCAAACTGCTCGGTTCATCCTTCTCACCTTCTTCTCTTTCGATATTCGTTGCTTTGAAATGAAACTTTGTCGACAGAAGGAGGCCATCGACGTAATTTTGTATGATTAATAAGAGAAATTAAGCGAAACCACTCGTCGATTCAAACTTGTATAGACAAAACTTCAAGTGCTCAATAGTTTAGACTAGCAGGATAGATTCAACTTCTAATGTCTAACAGCAGGCCGATACGCGAAATCATTTCAACATCTCAAAGCACTTGGTTATTATACGATTGGGCCTAGAGCTCTAGAGAATCTAATCAACAGACCGTAGTTTGATTTGTGTGAAACTCTGGTACTATGGATCTGAATAGTCATTATGAAGTGATTTGTGTATTAGTTGAGGTCCTGTAGCTATTTCAATAATTGCTCTGAACCCATCCGAAATCACTGATAGAGTGAGCAATAATGAGTTCTGAAAAAGGAACAGCCATTCCTTAGTGGGGTTGAGCAAAACGGAGAGTTCGCACCCTTCACTGTATTCACAAATGAGTGCTTGGTAGTCGATATTTAGCTTCTCTTGGAGGAATAGAAAGGATTTAGAAAGCATTTTTCTAGGATACCACTGTTCCAAGCATCTTGACATCCGCTGCAAACAAATTCAAACATCTCTGGACCTCCTTTCCCAGCTCAGTGAATAGTAAGTCAACTACCCCACTTTCCGACCACCCCCTGTTTCCGACCACCTAAAAAATTCATATTATCTACACTTAAAACTTTAATAACTCAATAACTATTGAACTTCAATGAAATCGCCTGTAGAATCACTTTCTATAGCACTAGAGCTATCATCTACCTCATCTTCACGATCTCCAGCTTCAATTTGTGTACGCCTTATAGCTCTAATCCCTGCGAACTTCGAATTTGGAGATACCACAACCTTTCGCCTTTTTCTAGGTAATGCTTCATCTAATTGATATTCTAGCTTTCTAATCTTATTCTCTGCCTCTAAGAGTTTCATAATCCTTAGCATCGAATCCTTTTATAATCTTGCGAAATAGTAATCTTCGTGTTGGCAAATCGATCTCCTTCTCTTGAATCATTATATCTCTATATTTTCTGATATCGGCTCCTTTTTGAGGGGTTTTCCATTGAATAAACGATGAATATATATTCCATTGAAGAATAGGATCATCATCAGATTCAGGATTAAGTGATAAAACCTCTCTATTGCTATTTTCAAGCAAAAGTCGACTCATAAGAGGTTTAGCCATATTTTTGGGCCAAAGACCACTAGCTTGCCACCCAGACTTGATATTTTGAATAGTTAAACCTTCTATTCTAGCCTTCTGATAGCAAGAAAGGAAATTGCGCTTTCCAATTGGTGAGGAATCGGATAATAGACTTAATTTATTAAGTTCGATTCGATATGCACTTTTTAGGGGTGAGAACACAGATAAATCGAGTGGTTGTAGTACGTGTGACGTATGTGGTGGGAGAAATAAGAGATATATGTTGTTATTAAAGCATTCTAACATAAATGCTGTAGTTTCATGGCTTCCGTGTCCGTCCAAAATGAGGAGTCTTGAATTTTCCGGCTGAATAGGGGTAGTTTGAGGGATATAGATCTTTTTCAGCCATTCTAAAGCTGTAGCATCTGTAGTCCATCCATTTTCTGTAGCGGTAAAGTTCCAACCCTTGAATAGAGTCAAATCTGTTGGAAACCATTGTTGTTGAACTGATTTTCCCTTATATATTACAAGGGGAGTAATGCTTTTTCCATTGGCTGAAATGCATTCTATAAAAGAGGTCCAAATTCGAGATCCAGGTTGCTTTTTTTGAATAAATCTTCGATCAGTGCTTCCTACTACTAGTCCATTAAGACCCTGACCCTCCATTATACCTGCTTCATCCATATTCCATCTGTTGGCCGGCTTAATAGCCTTGATTTCAGGGATTGCGAGGTTCCGGAACCACTTCTTAATAATATCAGATGTAGCACCTGAAACTCGTGCAGAATCGATTTGATGTTGCTTCTTAGTTCCAATATTAGGATGCCTTCGAAAAAAGCTATGTATCCATTTCTTTCCAAGTGAGGGATCCTCCCCTCGTACAATAAGGAGGTGCTCTGCCATCTCTCTGATTTGACGATGTGTAGGGCTAGTACCAAGAGCTTCCTGTACTAATATCCATTCTGCTAGTCGATTCTCCTGAATTGGAGATAACTTTTGAAGTATTTGGGCGCCTTTTTGATGCGAAACTCCACCATATATTCGATCGTGAAGTGTGGTACGTGGAACACCATAATCCAAGCTAGCTCTTCGTATGCTTGCTCCATTTGTAATCGCTCTAAGAGCCTCTGCGATATCTTCTTCGGTATATCTATTCTTCATATCACAATTATAATAATATCAAAATTTCAAATCAATTGATTAAAGCATTGTTGAGTTATTCAAAGTATAAATTTTATAATTACTCAAAGCGGTGTGGTTTTTGAGGTGGTCGAAAAGAGGGGGTGGTCGGAAAGTGGGGTAGTTGACTTATGAGTGCTATATTTAACTAATGGTATTAGATCACCACGCCATCCCCCCATGCTCCCCCCATTTTCCCCTTTTAATCCAGTGCTAATGAGGTCAAATGACAGTAAAAATACAATCTTCGGTCTCCTCATTATATAGTTCATCAAACCCCCAATCTAATATCTGTATCAAAGATACTGCTTCGTCCAGCCTAAATTCAGTATCCAAAAAGATGTACTTTCAACGAACCCGACTTGCTCATACTGTTCTTTTCCCCTTCCCAGTCAACTTTAGGTATAGCTTTGTGGTATGAAAACCTGACCTAGCATAGAGGATCAGAGCATGGAAACAGCTCGAAAACTAGTTCCACGGGTCAGATCACAAGCAGCGTACAAACTGACGAAGCTTTTTCCTGCTTTTCGGCCGACCACTTCGAGGTCACATTATCATACAACTCTCTCTCCAAAGTGAGTACGTGGCCACATATTTAACAGAGATCCACCACTTTCAAGAACACAGTCAACTTTCAGGATTGGCAAGCAGAATAAGAATATTGTCAGTGAACAAGAAGAAGGAAGTCGGGACCACTCAGAAAAGCAAGTAAAATGTTGTCTAGAGGGATCATACATACTAATGAACAGAAACGCTTGCCTATATCAGACTTTGAACGAACTCCGAAGAAGTAGGCAGGGTTTTCATATTTGCCTATCAAGGTGTGTACATTTACTATAGTTTCGCTCTCTTAGAACGGTCTTAGCAGGATAAATCAGAGGGGAATTTCTGATAATGATGAGATATTATAAAGTTGTCATTCTTTAGAAAAGAACGTGATTCAAGACTAATTTCATGTAAAAAGTTGACGACAGCAAGGTCAAAGAAAGTTAGGAAAGATTCAAGTTTAGCGAATGAGGAAACAATGACGAAGACTAACCTATTACAAACACCTAGAAGCAAAACTGAGTTTTCATAATGTTGATTCAAATCCACTGAAAACTATTCACACGAAGAGGAGATTTGTCCAATGCGGTAAATATTATCCCCTCGTCTCCAGCGTATATCACAAGAGATGCGTCCTCTAAAAGTAGCTATCTAAAGACATCATCCTAATATGTGGATGTAAGATTACATGAAGACGACCTTTGGTAGACATCCCATACTTATGAGTTTGAAATTTAACCTCTTCAAAGATCATAAAGTGACTCCCCATCAATACTGTATATCCAAACCCTATGTTGCCCAATCGATCCACTCCTATGTATGCGTGAATATGAATTCATTATCCAATGCATATAGATGCATAAAACGCCATTGCCTCTGAGCCCAACTAATGCAAATCATCGCTCTCATGTAATCATTTATTATTCGAATCTCAATGAAAAGATCATAACCTGTGACGAAGAATGCAATCAAAAAGGGGTTACCACCAATTTCCCACGCCACCCAAGGTATTTGCATCCGGCCCTTCTTGGCCCGCTTGACTTTGGAAATCCGTCGCCAAATCATTCCAGCCAACCCAACCAGGATCGCCATCAATGGCATTCATGTCAAGATCTAATAAGGCATTGTCATCCATCAACCAAGATATTTGAGTCTGGCCTTGTAATTGTTGTTGCTGTTGCTGCATTTGAAGTTGAAACTGTATCTGCTCGGGCGATAGCATACCCATCCCTACTACCTGTGAAGGAACGTCCATGCCAAAATCATTATTGAGGTTCTGTTGTTGCTCCCTATAGATTGATGTTTGTCCCGCTTCCAATATCGGTACGTTGGTAGCATCATTCGCTAAGGTTTGAGCTCTGCGTATGGCGACAGGACAATCGTGAGGGGCTCCCTCCCAATGATCTTCATCGTTTCCTTCTTCCATCGAGTGTATATTTTCTTCTCGCTTTCTCCGAGCTCTTGCCATGAGTTTTCGCATGGGTTGCCAAAACATACCGCGTTTGCTGCTACCGACAGCAGAACTCCAATCATCAAATGCACTGTCAATAGCTTGCCAAGCTCGCTCCACGAGTGGAGAATTCTTGCGAACAGAGAGTTCGCCAAGAATAAAAGCAATAGCGTGCCATTGTACCTGTAGTTATGGCGGTCAGTAGTGTTTAGAGTACCACGACGTCTAATATATACATACATAAGTGCGGAATAGCCAGCCCCATTTTTTGGTAGAAGCTTCCGTCTCCAAGATTCTTGAATACTCGATAATCTCGATAGATGACTTGAGAAGACGGTCCTTGGTGTGTGGGGATAAACATTGAGGCCTACCAGGTTGGATCAATGGGTGGTAAATTATCAACGACATCTTAGCAAATATGAGACGTGCCACTGTACCCGCTACCCACTACCGTTTTAAAGATTAGTAAATAAGCAACGCAATGAGAGGATGCGTGTATACGCGAGGTATGCGAAGCATGTATCACATTTTCTTTGTAGATCTGAATAATCAAGGTAAGGCACGAATAAAAACTTCTGCTTACATAGAGAGGGCCTGCATTCTCACAGTATTTGAGATATTTTTCTTCCATTCGAATCGCAGTCTCTTTGATCAATTCTTCTTTCTCTTCGAGTGTAAGTTTTGTTGGATTTCCTATGGGACAAGGACCACGACCGGGTGGAGTGTATTGAAGGCGTTTTGATAAAGCACATATCTCAAACCTTACAAGAACGAATGTCATATCTGAAACTCCTTCTCGGGGTTGTGGCGGTTCTTTTGCGTCTGGATCTAGATCTTCGTCATTTATCGAAAGTGGAAATCTGGTATCAAATGTATGATCAAATATTGAAGGGTCAGAACCATGGTCCTCAGACGCCCTCACGTCCAGGACACAGATTTGCCACCAAAGCCGTCTCCTCATTTCCGTATTATAGGGGGATAACCCAAACTTCTCCCCGTCACGATGCAATCCTGAGCTTGTTAGATATTTAGCTTGAGAATCGCTTACACAAGAACTCACCAAGCGATTGGCCAATTCTCATAACAAGTCCAGTTAAGGACCACACAAATCGAGTATCGTCATGTCTACGAACGCAAGTCAAGAATAATACGAATGCTTGAACAGTCATAATTTCGTTTGTATTAAGGAAACCTGCCCTGGCAAGAGCTTGCTCGGTACCAAATCGGTACTTTCTTAGTAAGGCATCTTTCTCAACTCCAAAGTTGGTTGCAACCTTATTAATGTTAGTCATAGCTAGCGTAGAAGTGGTGCATATAGGAGCGAATTAGAAATACAAACCTCTTCATCTGACATAGAAGTGATAGTTGCAAAATATATAGAGAACATCAAGGCTTCTGTGCTCTTACTTATAGTGTCTAGATTGTGTTGAACCTCTTTAATAATTTTCGCTGTCGTAGGCACATGGAGAAGCTTGACCAATGGCATCACATTCTCCAGAAATGTTGACCAGTAGAAAGGTATTTGAGAAGGTAAAGGATGTAAAGCCTTCATGTTAACGTCGGCAGAGCTATAACCCATCACAAAACTCTGATGATCTGGATGGGTGGCGGAAGATGGAGCTGGAACCGGGGAATCTCCATCGGTATCCTCTTCATCCTCATCGAACATGGCCCGAAGCTCTGCTATCTCTTGAGATAATTCTGCCCAGAACGGATTTGATACATATTGACTCTTTCCGGAATCTAATACCAGACGTCCTATTCCTTCTTCCATAGTAAATGCAGTTTTCGGAGCTGCAAGTCCCATGTTGAAAGATCTCGTGGCCCATTGTCGTTTCGTGCCCTTTTCCTCGTCCATTTCATTCACCCCATTCGTTATAGTTCTCGCAGTTCCACCAGGAGACTCGCTGCTCAATTCAACATTGTTGTGCGGGGAGGAATGGCCGCTTGATGGGGAAGCCTTTGGATTTTCCGCCTCCACTTGTCCGCTGAGTTCTTCCACCACTCCTTCCAATCTCCTTAGCCTCTTTAGAAGTTCCGCTTCTCGATCACTGATAGGCTTCCCTCCGGCCCTGGGGCGTCTAGGCGCTCTACCCGGTGCTGGAAATACGCATGGTGATTGCGCCTTGGTACAATTCGAGCAAGGCACCTTTTTGTCGCATTTAACCTTTCGTCTGCGACATGTAACACATGAACGCGCATTCAGTCCAGTAGGAACTGCAGTAGGAGCCGATGTTGATGGCCTCCGAACATCATCGGGGTTGCTAGGTGGGACAGTAGGGGGAATTGATAACGCTGAGGGGTACGTTGAATTTGGTGGGATAGCTATTGCCTGCTGGTTTTGATAGTCTGCGAACATGACGCTTTTGTTGGCGATCACTAGAGCACTTTCATCCGGTAGATCCAAGCTACAGGATTTAGAAAGTGCTTGGTCCAAAGAGATTGAAAGAGTGGATAGAATTATTTGGAATATTACCAATCGAATGTATGTTGATGTTCGAAGACTGTGCGGCCGACTCTGAAGATGTCATTGTTTAGGGGTGTTTGCTTTGATGCTGTCAGGCTTGACCGTTTATTTTGCAAGAATCATTAGTGAATATCAATTAAATCTAGTTATCTCTTTTGACTTCAATTCCTTTCCTCGAACCAATGTTAAGGGATATTGTGTAGTAAGCTCAACAAGTGATTATTATCAGACTGATTTTTTCTTATTTCTATTACTAACTCCAAGGATTAGGTACCTAGATATCATACTTATTACTCCGAACTATGTTTTCTGAAGTAGTTCGGAGGTGTGTAGTCTGATAGAACATTGATGAACATTGATGAATAAAGTCGAAGGTTAATTCACGACTTGCTTTGACTTTAACAATTAGGGACAAGTGTCAAAACCCCTTAAACCTTATAATACATGATTTCTAACACGTATTTAGTGATAGTCTATATATCGTTCTCTTCAGGAAAACCAGTCTAGAGGAGTCAACAATTCATACTGAGAAGTCTCGAATTTTAATTGAGGATGACAAAGAGTTCATTGGCTGGCAAGCTGTGGTCGAACTAGGGCTTGAAAATAATGTACATGTCATACATTCTTCTACTTTGATCGTCCGTAGTTTATAGGTGCTTCGCTGTCATGAAAGGGGAGGAATTTCGAGCGCGATTCCATACACTGTCTGCGGCTCATATCATTGCATGATGGGACCTTCATTCGCCCGCTATTGGAGTTCTATGGCTTGGAGAGATGGTTTATCTGGACTATGCGTTTTGAAGAAGCATATATATTGAAATGCACCCCATACATTCAAGTAAAAAGGACAGATGGCCGAGTGGTTATGGCGTGTGACTCAAGCTCAACAGCTTAGTTGAATTAATCAACTAGCATTCTCATGGGCTTAGCCCGCGGGGGTTCGAATCCCCCTCTGTTCATTGACTTTTTGCAATTTTTTTTTCTTTTCATAAAAGATGGTTAATTCTGGGGTGCATGGGGGCGGGGCTGGTGAGTCTACTCTTTTTATTTTGCATGCGTGAGGGTTTGATTGAGCAAATGGAACGCGACTCAGGAAAGAGAAGAAGAAAATGGCACAAGGGCGTTACTACTAGCTCACTCTAAACTCGTGCTAGTGATTTATTGAAGGTAGCAGACTCGGTAGAACATTGTCTATTTTGGCTGAAATCACAAGTACCGAGAGGGTAAAGGGGCATTTCAGCCGTACTCTTTCAATAGCACGTGTTGTCTGCATATAGTAAGATGCACTTTGATCCTAATCACTTTTGTTTTACTTGAAAAGGTATCTTCATTTTATGAAATACATACATGAAACCTCCATTCTTATATCTTTTCCGAGAAAGCCGGTCAATAGACTTGCTTGGCAAAGAGGAAAGAGGGAAAAGGAAGATTATCATATCTAATTCAAAGGAGTAACTTTCAATGCTAATACCCAATTCTAGCCCATCTAGCATTCAACAGTCCATACATTTCCAACTCAATCACTTCCCCTCCATCTTCCATGCGATCTCTACAAATCTTCTCAATCTCTCCACATGGTCCATTTACGCGTGTTTATTGTGGACACAGCGTGGAGACAAGAATCAAACCCGAGCTTGCACAGCCCTAGGTATACATTATGCTCACCCCCAGACAATAATATCCCTGCGACTGATGCCCTGATTCTCGAAATTCCAATCACATCGAAACACCAAATTCGATCAGCAATAAACAGGAAGATCAATGCCATGCCTAGATCCCCGCTTTCTCGCATTGTTGTCGCACCACTCGCTCATAGTTTCCATCCCATCTCATGCACAAAGTCAAACGGTTCTAATATAAGACCAAAACAAGAAACCAAATAATATATCTAATACCAACTACTGCTCCTCGAAACTCGAAACAATTCTCAAATATTTCTTTTCCTCCGTTACCTAATCTCTCCAAAAGCACTCTCTCAAGATATCATAAAAATCATGAATTTCCCTCCAAAGCACAACCCCTATCTCGATCCTACTAACAAAAAACACCGCGATTATACCCGCCTGGACGTATCTCACTCTCCAGACAACGTCCCAGACACCCCTTTCAACTCACCCACCGCAATGTCTCTCTCAAACTCTGAATCCTCAAGTCCAAACTTCAATCCCTTTTCTCTAAATCAACTCATCATGAATGGAGATGAACCATCCTCCTCGTCATCACTACATCAATCACGAAACTTCACACCCACATCCGCACCATCAGATTGGCGTCCCGAATCTCGAGATCGTGCTGGCTCAACAGGTTCAGAAAGATCGGGCATTGTCAGCAACAGTAGAAAATGCCACTGTGGAAGCGGAGGAATGCAAAAAAGACACGATGGTGAAGAATCCGGTCCTGGGTTTGGAAGTTATAGCGACAGTCGCTGTGAGCAGTGCATCGTAGAAGACGAGGATGTGGAGAGGGGAAGATGTAGGACGAGGACGAATTCAAGTAACTCGAGAGATAAGACGAGTTGTTCCAGGGAAAGGAAAAGGAGAATGGATCTTTAATGTATGTGTGGTTAGAGGGATATCAAGAGGACAGTCTTGGAAAGGATCTACCAACCAAAAGTTTATTTGGTTTTCGTGTATGTTTCTGGCGTTTCTTGACATCCAATACACGTTTGAATCTTCGCACTTGAACTCAACACCAAGTTCGAATCTTGGAAAACAAGGTTGGGGAGGAATCTTACCGGTTGGGCCAAAATTTTACTTTTCATCCGAAGACTTACTTACGTACTCTGTCGTCCCTTGAACGTCGGTCAATCAGACTTCATCCTATATTTCAAACAAATTCAAATTCAGAACTCACTCTGCACAACCTCGAAATCTAGACACTTCGATGTTATTTGTGACTGTGTCTTAAAATTATCTCTGTCGGGTGTTTATGGCGCTTCATGGCAATTATATCAAATACACACTGATGAAGAATTCGTCTCCAATTCGGTATTTGACACAAATCAGGTAAAATTTATTTAATGATTAACTTAAGGTTTTCCTATGGACGCATCAACCTTAGACAGTCAACCTTAAGACTATATCATCACATTCCATATTTGGAACCAACGGTACTGATGTACATTTGACTTTATCGATAATTTCTCTAAAGGGCGTCCAAATCGCCTGCCAAAATACGTGTCAAGGTCGTGTGTGAATTGACTCCGTACCGCATTTCATGTATGGAATAGAAGGCTCGCGGCTTCTTCCCTCCTGCCTGGATATCTACCAGCAAGATACCATCCGGTGTCATACATCTACTGTGATATCCGAGTTTCCTTATATAAACCATGTCATTTGCCTTGCACGACAGGTGTTCCATCACCATTGGCAACAGTTGATCGTTTGTGTCCTCAGAAACTTGTCCTGCAACTTCGAAAGCATCCCCGTGATCCATCACATCAGTAGTTTCTGAGATGCCATATATATAAATCGGAATCTTTAGAGGAGCATGGACTTGATTCCGTTCCTTCGTTTCTACCGAGAAATAGAAATAGCCTTTGTACATATTACCAATGTTGTTGCCTCTGGCCCTACACAAAAATACTACCTTTTTTCCGGTGGAGCAAATTTGGTTTAACAGAGGTTGGATCCCAATACGATCCGCGATCTCTGATACTCTTTTGTTATATATTGACATTAGGTCTTCACGGATACTGCAAATCCGATGCAAGTCGCAGCCCAGGTATTGAAGAAGCTGGGTGAGTCGATTCTCGAAACGATACTCGAACGTTCTCTGGGCCATCGAAGAGTCTTGTTTTTGCATATCAGTCAACGTCGAATATTTCAATTTAATGTCAGATATAGGAAATGCCGGCCACAGTCGGCCGATGGCAATATGTACGTCATTGAGAGCTTCCAGAGTGAGAATTGAGACACGATGTTCCAGGTCTCTGCTCCAACGAAAAAAGAAGTAGCTGCGTGAAAGAAGACGATCTCGAAAAGCAGATACCGAATCACTTTCTGTGCCATTTTCTATAAATTCGGTACTGCCTAAGTGCGATTCAGACAACCGGGGTGTGTCTTCACCCAACACATCATTGTGGGGGAAAGCCTGGGCTTCAAATGCGTTTGGCACAATATCTTGTTGAGGGTTTTCGACTTCAGACATGGCCGACATCTCAAAGTTTTGCATTGAGGCGGAGGAGAAATCAGTGAGCATTTGTGGATGACTTTGTACTGAGAATTGAGATTGAGTCTCGAAAGAAATCATGACATCAAGACCAATGGAACCTTGCAATCGAGGCAATGGCTGCGATTGGGGCATCGATTGGAGTTGAGACGACTGGATTAGATGCAATGAATATGGATGTGGCGTTAGGTATTGAGACGGGACTTGTTGTTGCACAAATGTTTGCAACTGATGCAGCTGTTGATATTCAAGAGAATTGTGCTGACCAAAATTTTCCAGCACTTCCTCAAATGGTTGCTGTTGTTGGAAGGATTCTAGCAATTGAGGCGGCGATGATTGATGAGGTGGTTCTGAGTGACTATTTTGAGAAGGCGAGTTATTCGGCGGTATATAGACTGGTGGAAAGCCTGTGTAGTTGTTTTGAGCATTGCCATGTTCGTCGTAAGAGTTACTATATTGATCGTGCATTATTGCGAGTTGCAAATACTACAAGCAAAGGGAGAAGCAAACAATTAGTTAAATGTATATGGATTTCTGAGCAGTGAGGATGTCTCGAAAACTAGAAGTGTTTATATTGGCTAGACTAGCTGTGCAGAATTGGCGGGAGCTGGTTTAGAGCAGTTACTGTGAATTCGAAATTGGAAGGCATGCTTGGACGCCTACTTGATAGTTGCCCTTTCTCTTTTCGGTTTTGAGGTTGAGAGTTATATATAACCATCTTTTCCATATCCTAGATCAATACCTGAAATCTCGATACTTGACATGGGTATTGAAAAGAAGCAAAGCAAATGCTTTCGTGATTTAAAACGCAACGGAAGCTGAATGACAGACCACATGAAATCAAATTACAGCTGCTCATTTGAAAGAGAAACCACAAAAATCACAGAAATGACATAGTATAAGGAGTGTCACGAACAACTGGTAGGTTGAAATCGAACCTAGTGACTTACCCACACCTCGCCATTGATCAACTAATCGAGATTTATGCTCAAATTTTAATATTTACTTGAGACAAGCCACGGCAAGTCAAACTGACGTCTAAATGTTGAAAAGGTAGCTTCTGCTCTAAGATAATCCTCTAGGGCCGGGGTATAATTCTCAAAGCTTCAATTTCTCGGCAAACCATTTCTCGGCAACAGCAACCGCATCCTCAATTTTATCAGGGTTGGTACCTTGACCAGTACGGGTTGGCTCCTTGCCACCGGATCGACCTCCTACAACCTCCGAGACTGCTGCGGCCCATTGCTCGGCACTCACGCCCTTGGAAGCAGCGTCCTATGCAGTGTTAATGACTTTTTGGAGGTAAAACAGAGGTTTTGCACTTACTGTACCAACATATACACCGTGCACAACAGCACCTTCACTAGCACTACCCCCGAAAAGATAAACTGTCTTGTCCTTTGCCTTGGACTTGAAATGGTTCATGACATCAGCAATAGCCTTGGAATTTGCAGAGATTGGCAATTGTGCGATATATGCGGTGCTGTCTTTATTCTTTGAATCAGCAAAATAAGCAGTAACAGTATCCAGAGCAGTCTTGGATTCGGCCTTCTGCTTCTTCTTTTGTTCATCAAGAACATCCTTCTGAACCTTGGTGAATTTCTTCTTTAGTTCCTCCTTAGCAAGTACCGAAATAGTGAGGTGGTTTAAGTCATTTTGTGTTGCCTTGACCTCTTGCTCCTTCTCGACGCCGTGAGGCATAGCATCCAAGGCAGTGATACGTTTGCCGAATTCCAAGGCAATTCTTTGTACCTCATGCGCGGCATCACCAGTATAAGCGATGATTCTTCGGATTCCTTTAGCAATACCGCTTTCCTCGACAATAACGAGGTCCTTAATAATGCCGGTTTGGTCGACATGAGTTCCACCGCAGAACTCAACACTGACCTTTCGCCATTCTGGATTCTTAGGCTCGGCGAGCAGAACGTCAACTTCGACACCAACAGAGACCACTCGAACGGGGTTTGGGTATGTTTCGCCGAAGACAGCACGTACGCCTTCAATACCCTTTGCGATATCAAGATCAACGTCTTTCGAGTAAATCTTGCAATTTTGCTTAATATAAGAGTTTGCAGAATCTTCAATCTTCTTGAGTTCAGGTAGTGTGACTTGAGCTTTGTGCGAGAAATCAAATCGTAGTTTCTCTTGGTCAACAAGTGATCCCTTTTGGTTGATATCTTCACCCAAGTGCTCCCTCAATGCATGATTGAGGATGTGGGTACCGGTATGGTTATTGCGGATAGGTTGTCTCCTTAATTCGTCGTATTCGCAAATAACTTCGTCACCAGCCTTGAAGTGTCCATAGTCCATGTAACCATTGTGAACAATGTATCCACCATATGCTTGAGTATCAAGGACTTTGAATTCCGCAACACCATCAATTATGATTTTTCCGGTATCGAAAACTTGCCCACCCTGTTCAGCGTAGAAATTTGTCTTATCTAAAAGAATACCAAATGGTTTATCATTAGGCAAATCTGCAGTGTTCTTAAGGAAACTCTTGCCATCGTAAATGAGTTGAATCTTGCCAGTTGAATCGCCCTTTGAGAACTTAGCATCATCATTGGGTCGAGGAATACCCATGTTGTCCAGCTCGGCAATTTGATGAACATCCAATTTGGCGAAAGTGTGGGCAGCTTCCTTAACGGATTTACTGGCCTCCCTCGCCTTCTCTTTTGCAATCTCGATTTCTCCTTCATCCGTCTCAAGACCACGCTCTTCCGCCATGATCTTGGTCAAGTCCTCTGGGAAACCAAAGGTGTCGTATAACCTCCATACATCTGCACCAGAAAGCTTCTTGGTGTTCGTCTTGATAGCTTGAGCGGCATATTTCTCGAACATCTTCTCTCCACGATCTAATGTTCTAGCGAAAGCCTCTTCCTCTTCATCTAAGATTTCCTTCACATCTTGTTGCTTTTTCACAATTTCGGGGAATTGCTCGCCCATTTGTTCAACAAGAGCTGGCAGGATCTTGGAGAAAAAGCTGCCAATTTCGGCATTGAAGTATTTTCGAGCATAACGAGATCCTCTTCTCAAGACCCGGCGTACAACATAACCACGTCCCTCGTTGTTGGGAACACCTCCATCTGAAATGGCGAAAGTAAGTAAGCGAATATGGTCAGCAACAACACGATAAGCAGTATCGATCCCATCAGTATCATCCTTTCCGTATTTGTCGGTATAAGGTCTGGCATTTGTGACCTCTTGAATCTTGGCAAATAATGGCGAGAACACATCTGTGTCATAATTCGATGATTTATCTTGCAATACCGAAACTAAACGTTCGTAACCCATACCAGTATCAATGTGCTTAGCTGGTAGAGTCTTCAAGGATCTATCCTTCTGGCGATCGAATTGGATAAATACGATGTTCCAGATCTCCAATACGTTAGGGTCATCTTGATTAACAAGGTGAGCAGCATTGCGCCCTCCTCCTATTCTGTCGTAATGGATTTCACTACAAGGTCCACATGGTCCTGTCTCTCCCATTTCCCAGAAATTATCTTTCATGTTTCCTGTCAAGATATGATCTTCCTTGACTCCCGCCTTCAACCATAAGTTCTTGGCCTCTGTGTCCGCTGGTACATTATTCTCTGCATCTCCTTCGAAATATGTGACGTATAAGCGATCTGGGTCTAACCCGTAGACCTTTGTGAGTAACTCCCATGCCATTCCAATAGCATCTGTCTTGAAGTAGTCGCCAAACGACCAATTTCCCAACATCTCGAAGAAGGTCTATGACTCACATGTTAAAGCTGTCAAATGTAGCATATCAAAGTGTCAACTTACATGATGATAACTATCTTTTCCAACATCATCGAGATCCTATAAACTATTAGATCGTGTATTTTCCAGCTCGGAGTCATATAGCCCTACGTTATGTTTTCCTCCAGCACGAATACACTGCAACTCTGTTAGCGCATCCCTACGATAATAGCAGCAACACAATCATCTACCTTTTGGGTATCCACTGCTCTCTTTAGTTGTGCCATATCGTCGGTCTTGCCCACCGTGCCGAGGAAAATCGGCTTGAACTGGTTCATACCAGCATTCGTAAAGAGGAGAGTGGGATCATTGTGAGGGACCACAGAAGATGATGGTACTGCATTTTGTTAGGAAAATGGCTTGATTAGACGTTTCAAACAGTCGCAGACAGGTTCCATGGCTGCAGAAGAAGTACAGTCCCATTCAGAGGAAAATCGTGGTTGGAAATCCCCAGAGAACCCCCCTTTACCAAAAAGAATTACCCCGCAACTTACCAACAGAATGAGCGTTCTTCTCAAAAAAGCTCAAGAATTGTTTCCTGACCACCGGGGCCGTCCATTTAGTGGTATCTTGAGGGCTCGCCATAATTCTCGACGTCCCAGAAAATTTGCGATACAAGGTTGTGTTGTGAGAACTTATCGAGGTGGTGCGCGAGTTGAACAAAGAAAGTCGCGTCGTCTCCGGTTCGTAGAATATTCTCGAGCAGTGACTCAGTGGACCTGGAACTCTTGCGACGTTCAGATTCAATCTTCCACGCAACGCATTCATTCGCTCAATTCTTTAAGAAGATAAATTTCCCTAGAAAAGAAAGATTTTCAATTGACAACTACTTTTCTGTTCATACAGATTGAGATTTATTTTATCGTGCACACATTAAGTAACAGAAAAGAAGCTTTGTGGTCAGGGGAGGTATGGGTCGTTAGGATGGATCAAGCGACAGGTATTAGGAAGAGAAAGGCGGAAACACAAGATAATGAACGACTCTCCAAACGGATGAGCTTGCTCAATCTTGGTAAATATCCTACAATTATTTATACTATCTCTTTATAATTGCACGAGATTCACAAGCTAACAATATTCCAGAGCGCAATGGCCAGAAACTCTACGTTCCAGTTGAGCAACCCACCTTAAGCTTAGATCTACCGACCACCAGCACGACATTTACTACCAGCAATCATAAACCCATAAAACCGAAAAGAAGACAACAGCAAGATGCCGATGATGTAATGCAATTAGACGATTCCAAACACAAAGTCTACATCTACGATCTCGACGACGAGCTATCAGATAGTGACGCCTCCGATGATGGACGGCTAATATTTCTCCCCGACATATCCAAACATCTGCGAGAAACACGGATACCACCCCACATCCTCGCAAACAAAGATGGACAGTTGGCCGGTATGAATAATCAGCTCATCTTATACGATACAGCTGTTCCGAGGAATCATAATGTGCCCGAGGAACAAGATTTGGTGCGAAAGGCATTCCTAGAGGCGAGGGAGAAGGCTAGAGCTAAGTGGGATGAGAAGGCAAGGCTGGAGGAGAGAGGGGCAGAGGGAACATTGGGTGAAGTTATACAACAAGATCGTGCCTATACAAATAGTATGATTGGAGGGGATACTGACGTAGAAGATATGAGTGTGGAAGCTATAGAAGATGATCCTGATGCTATGGACCTTGGATAGTGTCCAATGCTTCACTTAGTGGTGTGTAAGACTATGTAATGGGTAATAATATATTTTGAATTTCAGCATCTTCTATTGTTCTATTCCGGATAGTACGTTTATTTACAATGATTTCTCATGCAAGCTGATCCCTCTTCAATTTCAATCTCTTCGCCAGCCATATTAAGCATACCCAAACACTAACATTCATTAAACATCTCTTTACGACTAACCTCGAAATGGATTATTGCCTGCCCCAGTATTGTTTGTTTGGAGATTTGGAGGAGGTCCCGGAGGTGCCTCATAACCGGGAGCAGACTCCCCACCATCATCGGCTGGACGTCTTGTTGGTTCTGATCTCCATTGCGACGGATCGACTTTAGTCGCTCCAGCAGGTGGTTGATACGTGGGTGGTAATGGCGCGTTCGGATCGTACATTGGCGGTGGCATAGGGTGCATACCATATTGTCCCCCTGCCACTGGAAATTGATTGTAGTACACGTTGGAGGTCTGGTAGGCTGGGTCATATTGTGCTCGTTGTTGTCTGTTTAACATCCACTACTCATTGTTAGCATTGTCCTTTCGCAAACTCTGATCACGGCTCCTTACCCTATGATATGCCAATGGTTTCAAGCCCTTTCTTAATCTTCGCTTCGCATGCCAATATCCGATAATAATCCACAGCATGAAAATGGTGAACAGCCCCCAGAAGACTGACCATCTGATTATTTGTCCCGTCTGTTGAACATCGTTAGTATGTAGCACAACTTTCTACTTCAAACAGCAAACAAACCTTGGTGAGCCAAAAAGGAACTTCATCACTTTCAAAACATCTACCAAATCTATCACATTCGACTGTAGTCTCGTTGGCCGCCCGCTCCATGATTATTGACAAGTCGCCGTCCATTTTTGCGATTAATATCCCAGCTATCTCGTCCTCGAAATCACAGTATATGAAATGGTATCGTTTAATGATATCTCCCGTCCGTTCGCTGTCGTTTGATTGTAAGAATTGATTTGAACAAAGTATCAAAACCAAGACTCAGGACTTCCTGCTCCAGAGAAGTACTCCAGAAGTAGCCAAATCCACCGAGGCGGTGCTTGGGTCTCTTCTACACGGTAATCTCAATACCCGGCTTTCGAGTTTCATGCGGTGTTACAGGAGCGTATCCAAACACCAAGACTTCGTTTGAGAGCTAGGGTATTTATTTAATGAATATTGATTGCGACTCGCAAGTTGCTTTTCAATCACGACTGCAGAGTAAGTAGGAATTGTGAGACAAGAAAAGTTGGATACGTCGCAAGCACGAAAGATGTCCATACGAGAACCTTATACTAACAACCTCACATATATTTGGTGGCTTGGAATACGGCCAGGGATCCTTCGATCTATGGTCTCACCTGCTAATTTCCATACAAAAATACCTCAGTGATCATCCTTTCTGTCAAAATCAAGAACATGATTCGTTTCTTGCGGATTAGTCATCTAAATTAGCTTCAGGTACCGATGCACTAGTTGCAGCGTGGCTAGAAATATAAAAGTGTGGCTGGTTCGGAAATTCTGTATGTTTCCGGACCGCGATGGAGAATACGAAGCAAAATGCTTGAAGATTTTTGAGTTGAGTGAAGTCAAAGAGCTTCGCATCAACAGCGGTTTGCTTCATGAATTCTGTTTGCTCTACGGACTCATGATACGGCGTTTGTATGGGAGAACTTTGTTGCGATGAAATTGTGGACGTCACAGGCAAAACTAAGATTTGGGAAGGATATGCGAATCAACTAAAATATTACACGACAAATACCATTACTATATTCCTATTACTACCCATCTATAGGACACGTGAATTCCCTTCCATCATGAATTCCATGCTTTGTCGAATTATCGTCGGTTTGTATTGCCTCCAAACAAGCCCGATGATAAATATGTCTACAAGCAAACACCACTAGTGGTCCTAACTCCTGCTGACCCTTGTCATTATTATCATCATTGCCACCCCGTTGACGATTCGATTCGTCTCGAGGCCCTGCTGCCGATTCCTCATCCATGCTCTTTCTTTTACCTTTGCCATTCCTATTCCCACTACTATCCTCATCAAACTTTGGTAAACTATCACTTCTAGCTGGAGCTACCCCCTTTCCTCGTTCAGGAACACCCCCACTCAAAAGCGTTCGTCTTTTCTGTCGCTCCTGTTCTTCCAGCTCTTGTCGTGCTTCCCACTGAGAAAATACATCACCCGAAACACCAGGCCCCCATGCCTTTCGACCACAACCTTCACAAGTGGAGCCTCGTGGTCTCCATCCTCTTTGACGAAGATTGGTAACAGACTGCACATTGACGAAGAGATCTTTGTCGAGTAATCGATTCGCCAAGCTCAGAATGCTCTCCTCATAAGCATATGCTGAGAACACTGAAGCAAGTACGGCGCGCAAATCACTTAAATTGGGAGACGAAATTGATGCCTTCGTCAAGAATGCTCGTAAGATACGCAAGAAAGACAAATTTTCACCGAAGGATGTCGGCGTTGATGTCGAGGTTAGAAGAGCTGTAAAAGTTCGCTGGACAAGAGTACGAAGTTGAGTGGTGAACTTCTCACGATCCACTTCATCTGACGTTGATGCTTTTGCGTCCTCCAGGCCTGGAGACAGTGTGCGGGTAATTTGTACCGCAATATCTATAAGATCTAACCAAAGCACCTCTTCGGGAAGAAGTTCAGATTTTCCGGAAGACTTCCTTTTATTCAGGGTTCCGTTTGTATGGTTTGATTGCGTCGATGTTTGACTTTGACATAACCAAATTCCCACATTGATATATTTCTGGAGCGCAGTGAGAGCATTTTCCACGGCTTCGCTTGCATTCATGGATCCCGTAGCGTCAGTCGATGCGAATAGAATGCCTGTCAGAGTAGCCTCTAATATCCTTAGATGTTCTATTAGTCGATCCATACCAGCTCTGATTTGACCTTCGCGAGCCATCAAAACCACAGCAGCATCGACAACGCCACTCTCTTCCATAAAAGGTAAGACTTTCTTAAGCCGGAGATCGGATGATTGCACCAATTCAACATAATCCACCACATGTTGAGCGTCATATTTGCACATAAGCTGAACATATTGCTCGGTGAATTCACTAGGGAGTGAGCGTTTGGGGCTTTCTTCTTGTCCAGTTGCTGTTTCCATAATACTGTGCAAATAAATATACTGTACCTCTGAAAGTTCGGGAAGAGAGGCCAACATCTTTTCGTGGAGAGTAGGAGAATAGTTCTGGATCGTCAAGGCAGCCTTTTTAGCATCTAGTCCAACCAGATCACTTGCATTCTTCTCAATAACTTCATATACCTCTCGAACCTGTCGCTTGGTTAATCCAGAACGAGGTCGTAGGCAGTCAGCTATACAATCAAATATCTTTTCTCGGTCCTCGGGATCATCAAAGTATGCCTGAATGAGTTGGCTATATTGTTTGTCTGATTTGTATATGCTTTTTAGAACTCGATAAAAACCTGCCTTTTGAAATAAAGGCATTAATGAGGCTAGATCAGTTGGGTGGTATACTGAAAGTAGGTATTCTGCACTGAGTTGAGCATCATCTGCAAGATCCTCACCTGGATAATTACACAGGCCTGTCAAGACTTTGTGTAAGGATGTCCCAGAGAGCAATAAATACTGAGGAAACTTCGGTAAATTCCGAGCGATGAACATGTCCAAATAGATAGTATCTTCTGATGCAAATTCGTTGGCATTCATCACCTCTAGGAGTATCGTGACGATATATTGCCTGTTGACTGAGAGGCCAAATACATGCTCCTCCGACATATCACGATTTGAGCCACCATTGACAGCACGATCTGGCGTATCATTAAGAAAAGAGTCCTCGAATGCCTCGTTCAAAGCACTGAGAAAGCTTGGTGCGTCAAACTTGAGAACCATTCTTAAGTAAGGAAAAGAAGGCTCGATCTCTTCGTTCGGTTTAGTTAAGAATGGTTTAGTACTTCCTTTTGGCCAAGAAATTGTTTTTCCAGAGAAGAGAAACCAGTAGAGCTCAGCTTTAGCGTCCATAGCTTCTTGATCCTCGAGTTGATCGCCCGTAGGGTAAACTCGGCCTGTAAACGTATATGACATGTATGGAAACATCTTCAATGCATTGACGCCAAAAATGGGATCTTCCATCACGTTCCCATCGTGGAATGATTCTCCATTTTGAACCAGAGGCACTAATAATGTGAGAAGATCAATGAGCGGGGTTATGTAATCGTGTAATGCTTGGTTCCAGACGTAAATAAGGGCGTCGTAAAGATTGTGTTGTTTGCAGAGGGTAGTGACTTCGTCGATATCTAATGTTGCCGTTTCCATTTGGCAAATCATCTCTTCCAAGCGACTTTCGAAGCCTTTGCTAACGAAGTAGGAAACCATAGATTTGACCACAGTAGGTGGTATTGGGGTAAGGCGTTGGTCCAAAATATACTGTTCTAGAACCTCGAGGAAAATACCCTCCGAACCTCCATCCTCGTACCATTCAAAAGCCTCATCAAAGAGGAAATCAATATCGTTGATGCTAAGAGATGCTTCGAAGCAAGCTTCAGCCAATTGCTTGAGGTGGTCATCTGTAGCAGCCGGGTATCTTTGTCGCTGACCGAAAGCAAATTTGAGAGAAGCAGTCATAATCTCGACCAATTTGTCTTGTACCATAGAATGTCGTAATGTAGTATCCTCCGGTAGCCCAATGGTCAACTTATCTGCATCACCAGTATAATAAGATGTCGCCAATTGAATGGCACCAATGTAATCACCATCTTCCATCAATGCGATCAGTCGGTCTGCCCAATTTGATAGTGTTCCTATTGATACATCATTGAAGCCAAGGAGAAACATTCGACTCTTGTAAGCTTTAAAGCTCATATAAAATGCATCTGCAACAACGCCATGCATAGATGGATCCTCTTCGTCCAATTGCTCCACCAAGGTATGCAGCTGTTCGGAAAACAAATCCTGGTGAAAGATATGTTTATGTACCAAATCGAATGCTT